ATACATACATACATACATACATACATACATATATATATATATATATATATATTAAAAACCACATTTACTAATGGAACTGTTATCTTTGCAAATTAATTCATTAATGTGACTGATGCAAATACTTTGGTATATAATAGTCTCCATTTTTGCCAATTGCATCATTTCAAATGAAAATTCAAACAAGGAAAGCTTTTAGGTTTGAAAAACTCACATTCATCTAGCTGTTAGTTTTATTCCTTTCTAAAAGTGATAAATATATAATCATTTTCTACCAAAATCTTTTAACTTTTTTTCCCCAGTTTTGTTTTGTTTTCAAGATTGCCCACTCCTGGATATAAATAGATATCCTCCTCAAGTTAATTTTGAATGTTCTAGAAAGAAAATACTACATAAACTACATACACATTAGTGGTAAAGATCCCGTAGATTAATTCCAGTTCTGGCAGGAAGAACGTACTCTGTAATTCATTGTAGTAAAATGGAATTTCTCCAGGGTGGGAGCAATTCAAACGCGCTTTCATGAAGGTGGTCCAAGTATCTTCCAGCAAAAATCTGCCACCAATGTCATTCTTACAAACTCGAGCAGCCCGAGAAAAAACTATTTTCCCACAGTCATGTTCCACTGCATTCTCTCGGAAGAAAAAGTAGATGAAGTTTCCGATGTCATATGAAGACACAAAATTTGGTTCTGGAATATATTTTGGGGAAAAAAAATAGAGGAAAATAACTTTGCTCCCTAAATCGACTCCATCCATCTACACATAACCCTTGTTTCCTTAGGCCACGTATCTAGGATTCATTCAAGAAGCTGCTCTTTTTGCCCCCCCCTCCCAATATTTTCCTTAAATCCCAACTTTTATGTAACATTTTTTGAAATTTCCATTCATGAACTCAAGAAGTCCACTTACCTCTGTCAGTTTTAGCCTGATTTCCTTTCTCCTGCCAAGATTATGTTCATTCAAATAATACCAAGATTAAACACAATAATTTAGTAATACATATATGATAAAGTAACTGTCCAAAGACTATCAATTATCTTTTTTTGTTACAGTTATCTGGACTTTTTGGTGAATTGTGGTCATTCAGACTGGGAACTCCATAGTTAAGCAATGCAGTTGTAAACTGGAATGTCATGTGACTGCGCTGACTTAAAATGACTGCTCTTAAGAGCCGAGGTGGCGCAGTGGTTAGGGTGCAGTACAGCAGGCCACTTCAGCTGACTGCTATCTGCAGTTCGGCGGTTCAAATCTCACCGGCTCAAGGTTGACTCGGCCTTCTATCCTTCCTAGGTGGGTGAAATGAGGACCCAGACTGTGGGGGCGATATGCTGACTCTGTAAACCGCTTAGAGAGGGCTGAAAGCCCTATGAAGCGGTATATAAGTCTAACTGCTATTGCTATTGCTACAATGGCAGTCCATGCCTTTCTAGCTGCCATTGTTAAGTGAACTTCATGTGATTATTAGACATGATATCACCATTTGCGATCTCCTGCTGGCTTCCTGATTGATTCAGCTTTTTCAGAAGTCAGCGATGAAGGTTGCAAATGGCTATCACCTGATCACGCTGAATTATTCTAACCGCAAGCAGGTTGCCAAGCATCCAAATTGCAAATTTAGGGATGCTACAATGGCTGCCACGAGGACAACTCTGTTGTTAACTCTCCACATTCAGCATTGTTTTAACTTTGAACAAGCACTGAACGAGTGGTTGCTGAATGAGGACTAATTGCATTAAGAACTAAATAAACCTATGGTTTTTTTTTGTAGTGTATGCCTCTTACATTTTCACAATTAACACTCAGTTGTTTTATATCTTTTCTTTATTTCTCCCCATGCCCCAATTTCATATAACATGACCAACTTTAAATCTGCAAAAATGACATCTAAGAAGTCATACTATATGTGAAGAGGCTGTGAACAAAGCAGCATTAAGTTATAAGAATGAAGCTTTTTCCTTCAAAATAAATTACCGTATTTTTTGGAGTATAAGACGCACTGTAGTATAAGACGCACCAAGGTTTTGAAGAGGCAAATTTTTAAAAAAAGGTTTTGTTCTCTGCAGATCTCCCAAAAATGGCCTGTTTTTCATGCAAACGGGCCCTTTTTAAAAAAAGGGGGGGCATGAATAGGCTTTAGGAGGCTTGTAGAATGCTCCTGGGGGGGGGGATGAACAAAAATGGCCAATTTTTCACAAAAACGGGCCAGTTTTTTGTCAAAAAAAAGGGCATACATAGCTTTTAAAAGGCTTATAGAGTGCTCCTGAGAGCTGGGGGGTGGCAAAATTGAGCAAAAAAGGCCCATTTTCACTCATTGAAGCCCTCCTCAGCCCCCAGGAACACTCTGCAAGGCTACCTAAAGGCTCTGCACAGCCATTTTGGTGAAGGGTGCGGGGTTTCAGGAGGCAAAAAATGCTGTATTCAGTGTATAATACGCGCCCAGATTTTCAGCCTCTTTTCTGAGGGGAAAAGGTGCATCTTATACTCCGAAAAATGCAGTAGTTGAAGTTCTTAAAAGAAAGCATTTCCTAACACACACACACACACACACACACACACACACATACATATATACATACATACATGTGTGTGTGTGTGTGTGTGTGTGTGTGTGTGTGTAGGTCTCTAGTTATTCGGGTTTTCTCCCGCGTAAAATTGGAGATGTCTTGGCGACGTTTCGAAGCACCAAGCCTGAAGAAGCCTGAAGATGACAAATGAGACTTCGTCGAAACGTCGCCAAGACATCTCCAATTTTACATGGGAGAAAACCCGAATAACTAGAGACCTACATACTAACACCCGCGAAAACCTCAGAATATATATATAGTGTCACAACCCCTGGTATGCCCCAATTATGGGAGGAAGCTAACTGCTTCCATTATCTGTCTATTGGCTCGTCACAAGAGTCCATCACAACAGAAACCCAATATTTTTACTGTTGCCTTTGTTACAGTTGTTGTATTTGTGCTGATACATATATATATATATATATGTATGTATGTATGTCTCTTCCATCTACTCACCATTCAGCCACTTAGAGTTGTACTGTGCAGTCCGAAGTGGAGGGAGAATACCCAAGCTGCGATAAATTGCCGGATCTCTCCCTGGAAAGTCCATGACGGTTGCTGCATATAACTCACCGGTGCTTGCAAGGAGAGCTGTAGAATTGTGCTGAGGGCTATAAGGACAGCGTGCCATGCCACTGATCTGATCATGTGTCTCTTCCAGGTTACTTAGCTTCATCAGAATATTGGGGAGAGGAAGAATTATTACAAACTGCATGAAAGAATATGAAACCCACAAATCTTTAACATAAACTGTACATCTGTCCTGCTTTTTGGTTCAGGAACTCCTTCAGTTTTCCCCCATATCAACATTGAATTAACTATTATATAACTCTAATTCTATTCTTACATTAACTATAAATATACACATATGCACACAAATAATTGGGGAAAAAACCTGACTTCTAATGTGAAGAATTAAAAACGATGTCTTAAAATACGCTCTTATTAATATAGACTTCTTACTAGCTTTAGGGCCTACAAGTTCAATAAAGAGTTGCATATCTACAGTACACCAGATCTCTTTCACCCTATACAGATTGCTATTCAGAATGTTCATCACATAGGAGACCTCTACAACATGTTCACTGTTTAAAATATCCATATTTATTCATTTATTGGCCAGGTTTTGGAAGAACACTGGGAGTTGCAAGATGAAAGGTAATTGCTTCCTCCTTGTTTCCACTGCAGAAGCTCAACTCCATCCAAATTTTACAAAATATTGAAAACTATTATTTTATTAAGTGAATCCATTCACTCCTTCTATCTTATATACATACCCATTTAGCTAATCCAGAGCATGAATACACATTATATCACAGCACCATTAAAGCAGTCTACTGGCATTCAAGTATTGCAAGATACGGTACCAAACATTTGAGAGAAAATCACAGTATTAAGAAGACTACATTTTTCCATTTCTGGTAGTTCCCTCTCCTTCAAAATGCCACCTATACCACAATAAGGCTTAAAAATAGCCTGAACAGTCGTAAATTAAGCTTATTTTAAAGCTTTATTATAAATGATAGGTACTCCTTACCAATATTGTAAGGTTGGACAGCAGAACCCTTCATTTTCCAGCGTAATTCCTCTTTGAAAAGTCCCCCATGGCCAGAATGCTTAAAATGGTCTCAGATATTCAGATTGGGCTATTTTAAAGCCTTCCAGGACTGGGGAAATTTCTAATCTCAGATCAGCTGCAGATCAGACTCCATGAAAGAGACCATGGCAGACCAGAGAGTTTCTCATTCCAAATGTAATCAATGAAGAAATCCCCAGCTCTCTGCCATTTTGTTCCTTCAGCCATTAATAATATTTATGATTAATAATATACTAAGTGGTAATAACATTCTCAAGACTCTGTTGATATAATATTGGTAATTATAGAATGAATGAAATACTGGAAATTATGCATTATACATTGCAGTTGACAGATGGCCACCTAGTACATAATGGAAAGTATCCAATTTATTTGTATTTTTACAATAAATTCCACAAACATAGAAGTCTTCCTCCACACTTCTGTCTTACTGAATTATGAAACCTACAGGACTGTAGTGCAGATCCACTCATATTCTTACCGTCCGATTAGTGCAAATGGGTGTAAATGCATTAGTTCCACATGCAAATAATCTATCTCCACCAATCAGGAGAACACGAATATAATTCTGGCACTCTTCCTGCCAAAGCAAAATATTTTATTAGTATAATGATATATATTAGGAAACTTCTATAAAGTCAGAAATTATTTACAATTAGTTCCCAATGACAGCAACACATTCCATCAATGTGTTCTGTAAGTACTAATATATCAACATATATACGGTACTTATTACAACAGCTGCTGATTATAGATTACAGCAATATTCATTGTGCAGTAAGTGTATTTGTGGATTTCTATAAAAAATAATGTTTTGTTGTCTGATGCTAATGTAAACCACTTCATTCATTACAAGTGCTTGAAGATTTACATAAAATGTCAAAAATGTATAAAGGTATTTCAAACGCATGTTGGTAATATAGATGTAAAGAAGGAATATTTTACCGTCTCTGAGTGACTTAAGAGAAAGAAAAAAATTGGGAGTAAGATTTACATCTTAAATAGAAGATTCTTAAAGTGACTGTTACTGAGGACAATTCTAAATTTTTCAAAAATAATTATGGTAAAATATGGAAGGAGATAAAATTGAATTTAAAAAGTTGGTAAAAATTAATTTTTCATTAGAAAGAAGATATAAAGCCAGAGACTTTTCTTTTAGGCTTAATGGACATAGAACCTGAACAAAATTTTGGAACTTAGTTGATATATACTGACGGTAGATATTTCTATGCACAAAAACGGAATGATAATTTAATTCCCACAATGGATGACTGGCTGGAAACACTGATGGAATTAGCAGAGATGGCTAAACTGCCTTAATTAAAGAAAAAATACAGTTAACTTGGTTTCCACTTGGAAACCACTTCTGTGTTTGAGGTGAAAAAAATGAAACTTTGACTTTAGGTTTTGCTGGTTAGATAGATTTGTTATTATAGAAATGGCTAGTGTATATATCAGTGGTTGGATTCAAATAATTTAACAACAGGTTTTCTGCCCTAATGACAATCTGGGTAGGCGGGGCTTGGTGGTCATGTGACTGGGTGGGCTTGGCCAACTCAAGGTCACTCAGGTCGATGGGCGCTTTGCTTTAGCTGT